AAATACTATGCATACATTATGTATTTCATTTAGTTACAAATCAATCATATCAGTTTATCAACCATTTCTAAGGTTGTACTGATATGAAAAAGTAAGAAAAGGTTACTGTAATTTTCTCTGTTAGAAAATGATTCATTAGACTGTTTTTATTTCCAAGTTTTCCAATGAATAGTTCCTGATAAAGTTTCCCAACTTCATGTTCTGATATGAAGAATCTAATGGAACAGCATACTTTGTTATTAGTCAATCCGGTAAATGAATATAAATGGTTATACTTTTTCTAAGTTACTAATCACTTTATCCATTGTTAAGGCAACATCTTTTTTTCATTGAGAACTATCTGAGAGGGAGAGAGAACCCGTGCTGGGTAGAAACAGGTGTCTACCTCAATACAATAGAAAATGGTTGCGCGACTTCGTGGATTGGTTGAGGTTAGACATTAACACCATTGAATGCCGGCTCAGTGGTCTAGTACGTTAAGCGTTCACGCGCGAGACTGAAGGCCCTCGGTTCGAACCCCGCGAACGGGATCATGGATGCGCACTACTGAGTCCCACAATAGGACGAAACGGCCGTCCAGTGCTCGCGGGTTTTCAATGGTGGTCTAACATCAAAAGATTCATGATCTCAATCATTTGTATTGTATTTTATCAAACTACTTAGATGGATAGCTTTATTTATTTCTACATACAGTGAATTCATTGTTAGAATAATAACTCAGTATATTTGCTTACATACTTATAACAGGGGAAATAAATAATTTATAAGGTTGTTTGAAGTTTTAGAATGATTGAATTCGAATAGATGTCACAATATGTATCTATGAGTTAATTTACAGATAATTAAACTTTCTTTTATTTTGAAATTATTATGTTTTCTTCAGTAACAAAAGTAAACCATCTATTTCATTGAAATCACGAACTGATTGAAGTTGGACTACCATAGACGGCTGTTTTATCCTCGTATAGAACTCCTAAGAAATGTTCATTCATTACTCTACCATTAAAAACCGAACCCGGATCCAAGACCTTCAGTATCGCACACGAACGCTTAACGTCTAGACCACTGAGCTTAGATCCAATGATGTATGGGCCTAACTCTAATAAATTCTTGACATAAAGTGGCCATCTTCTACTGCCTGAAATGGAAATCTGTCTCATACTAGACATGGTTGAACATAACTAGTCACGATTTATCACCAGAACTCCGAAAATTCCCTCTCAAAGTCAATCGGTAGTGAGGATATGATGATTACCAATATGGGGTTATAAAAAAATTTCATTCTACTTCAGGGGCTATTATCACCTGAAGAAACATTAAGGTGTCATGTTTAAAAAGAAATTCTAGTTAATTTCCAACATTAAGCATTAGACCCATGGTACTGTATCTGCTCTCGGTATCTTTAAAATATATTATAGCAAAAGACTGTATGACAACTCCGTATGACATACTTTCTACTCGTTTATTTTCAATTATCAATTTATGGTTATTCTAAGTTACTTTTGTTTAATGCCCAATCCTCCCTCTTTACCTGGACTTGGGACCGGCAATAACGCTAGAAGAGCTAAAGACGGAGTTAGAGCTGCAAGCGAACAAACGCAGATGAAGACAACTAGTGTAGCAGCATCCTTTGCATTAATAGTCCTCAGTATATAAAAAGGAAAAAGTAGGATCCTCAAATACAACACGGAGAACATCAATCCAATCGCACTTGTTGAAGAAACTCTGGAAGATGTGAAATCTTTCACGTACCTGAGGAGCATCATTGATGAACAAGGAAAATTGGAAGCAGACGTAAAGGAGAGGATTGACAAAGCAAGGGCCACATTTCTACAGTTGAAGAATATATGTAACTCAAAACAACTGTCAGTCAACATGGAAGGTACGATCTTCAATACAAAAGTCAAAACAGTTCTACCGTACAGAGATGAAACGTGGAGAACTACTACAACCATTAATAAGAAGGTACAAGTATTTATAAACTGTTGTCTACGCAACATACTCAATATCCGTTGACCGGATACCATCAAAAACAGCTTTCTGTGGGAGATGACAAATCAGCTTCCAGATAAAGAGGAAATTAGGAAAAAACATTGGAATTGGATAGGACATACATTAGGAAAATCACAAAACTACATCACGCGACAAGCCCTAACTTGGAGTCCTGAAGGGAAGCGGGAAAATGGAAGACCAAAGGACACAATACGTCAGGAAATGGAAGTAGATTTAAAAAGAATCAATTGCAACTGGAAAAAATAGCCCAGGACAGGGTTGGATGGAGAGTGCTGCTAGGAGGCCTATGTTACTCTACGAGGAGTAACAGGCGTAAGTAATTAAGTAAAGTTTTCATTTATAAAATGTTTAAACCACTCTATGTATGATCAGATTGTTCGAATCAATGTAACATAAATAAATCAGATTTTTCACGTTAAATCCATTTTCTTATTGCTCTATCATAATATTCAAATGCTTTAAAAAGTTTTGTGTATTATTCACTGTTTAGTATGTTGTTTTCTATTCAGTTATTTCCAAATATGAACTTAATCATTTTGTTTTCCTAATTACTGATGTTACTACATCAACCGGTGAAATTCCTTTTGACCTACATTAGATAGACCTAATAGTATCATTATTACCATTATTGATATTTTTACTATATCGTTTCCTGTTTTAACACATCCGGTAAGTAAATATTTACGTAAACATATGAGCATATATAATAATATAACTAAACTCCCCGTAAATTACGACTTTTGTCGTACGCCTCTTAACCGAAAAACTATCAAAGTATAGTAACCTTGAATGAAAGCAAAAAAGTATACTAACATAAAGTATTCAAGCAATGTCTATTTATTCATCTATATTATCTTATATCTTTTATTATATTAGAAAACTGAAATGACATTTACATCGCAAAGAATTAATATAACTTTCAGGCTGATTTCAGAGAATATTTCCTTTCTCTTACACTAAGACCACAAGGAAATTCATACCTAGTTCACCTGTTCAATGACTTGTTATTTCTCCTACATATTGCACCAAGATAACCAACTACATCACTGGCAGCTTTATCAAAAGGAGAGATGGTGGACAGAATTTGAAAAAAAAACTAAAGACGAACCAAGTTTTTTGCTTATCCCTTTTAATCACCGAACATTTAAATAAACCTGTTTCTTTACAATCTGTCGATAGCAATGACTCGATCTTATGAAGAGAAAACAAATATGAATTGATGTACAAGCTTAATGTGTAGCGAACTAAGCCAACGATAAACTGGTTTGATAACATCAATGAGACTGCGTCATATAGATGACCTTTGAACGACGTTAAAGTGACCTTGAGAAAACTTACCAACTTACTGTGGTCAAAGTAGAGTTATAAATCGCATGAACAATTTGGATTAGGATTCAAAGTTGAAATTTATGGTTAGGAATTGAAGTAAGAGTTTTCACTAGAAACAAATATCAAATATAATTGCAAAACTCTACTTAGCCATATGGACGAATATATTTCGTACCAAAATTCATGACTTGTTATCTTTGGTTTCGTCAATACTACTTCACTGACTAACTTTAAAATGAATAATTCGAAGTCAAGCATGTGACCCTAAAATTCATCTTTCACCATTTATTTCCTAAAGATCTATAGAAACTTAAAATCAATACGCAAGGATTTATGGAGATTGTGAAATTTTTATGATTTAAATCATGAACTGATCTCGAAAACATTGTAGCATCGAACATCTGTTTCATTTAAATGTAAGAGTTCCTAGCAGTGCGCTTCCACAACCCCGTCTCAAGAAATAGGATCTAGGAGCCTCGGTTTGGCAAGTGAACGCTCAAGATCTACTCGGAATCCGACAGAGTTTAACTATGTCAAGTGTAAGACGGTTATCTTTCTGAGGCAATTTATGAAGATGGTTCAGTATTGTGAATTAATTTAACTTAAACATCCACGCCATTAAATGCTGAACCAGTTGGTCTAGATTCTTTGTGGTGGCGTCGATGATGTGGACGCTCTCCAAATTATTTTCATGTTGCCTATGACACTCTCATTTGTGAAATACTTACACAAATTGTTTATCTGATGTATAATTTACCACAGACCTACGGTAAACTAATTAGATCCGATTAATTCAAAAATAAATAAGTGTTTTGGTTTGATCCTTATCTTTATGTTGACTTAAGCCATTTAGCCATTTACATCTGTTTTATGAAACAAATCTGTTTAATCGTGATTATTTTTACACTTTCTTTCAATGGTTTATAAAGCACCGAATACGTTTTAAAAATTATAAAAATGGCTGTTTTTCAATAAAGGGTATGGAAATGTAGATACTCCTTCTAAAACTTTGAGTAATTGTGCAGATAATGAATGGTAACTGCTAGGAATTATTCATGGACTGTTATTATATATACTCTTATTGTATAACTACTAAGTAATTATATGATACGTATAATAATGTTACTATTATTATGGGCTTCCACTTGACCTATTGACTACTACTATATTATTTACTATTTTTAATTTATGCTTAATTTATTAGCTACAGTCTCTTAAACTCACAGCCGATTTTGGGCTTTCTATTTTATGGTATGATATGGTTTGGTTGCTTGTACAACCAAATGTATCTGAAATATATGATTGATACGGTGAAAACTGAGATTGTGTTCTAGACTCAAACGGACAGGGCTAGGCAAGAAGAACCAATAAGGACTCAGAGTTGACTCTAGACTGCTCGTACTGGTTAATGTGTCATTGATTTGGCATAGTGCCAAAGTCATATAAGTTAGTGTTTTGATCGGTGATATAGTCACGCAATAACTGACGGGCTTTAAGACATAACAAATGGTAAATGTTGATTCTTACTATTGTTATTTGTCAACGTTTAGGAAACCAATAAGTGAAGAAAACAAAACGAAACAAATACTATGTCATACTGAATGTTTAAACTAATCATCTTTTTATTCTATATTTTATTTTTGTACTTCATTTTGTAGTTATGCTCATTTTTACAGTGAAAATGGAACTAACTATCGAGATTTGATAAAAGCTTATGGTATAAGATTTGTTATTCATGTTAGCGGTGAAGCTGGTAAATTTCATCTTCTCCCATTGACAATGAATATTGGTTCAGGTTTAGCTTTACTCGGTTTGGTAAGTAATTTTAAATAATGAAACATACATAATGTTTTATGGGCTTTAATAACTAGTGGTTTATATATTTTTTTAATGATATTAATGTTAAATAGCTTGTGAAAAAACTTTTATGGCTTTAGCATCGTTTATCGTTATCACATGTTAAGGTCATGAATTGTACTTTTTTTCCCTACGCCTCCTTGTTCAGTATTTCGTCTATGGCTTTCTTCTAGACTTAATCAATTACCTGTCTGGTCTTCACTACCAGGATTGAACAAACCCAAGCTGAGCTCCTATAGGTCCGTTATACTCTCTCCTTTCTCTATCCTATATCATAAATCCGAAAATTTAGCAGTCAGTTTCTATTAAAACCAACTCAATTACACTAATTACATAACAAAGCTATAAACGGGAAACAATGAAGTTTTAGGCCCGTAATAAATCAACAATAATGTAGAAATAGTTTAACATACAATAACAGTTCATGTATCACCGAAAAGCTTACAAGCAGGCGAATACAAAGAAACACAGAAATTCAAGTATTTATAAATTAAAGAATAAAAATATAAACACAATAATCTCAAGTAGTACAGTTCCGGAAGTTCATCGTTCTCAGGACTTATCTCGTGATAACAAAAATGTATTTAAACAAAGTGTGGATGCGAAAAATGTATTTGAAATAATCTTAATGACTGAAGTTTAAATAATCTTAACAGTTCGTTCAGCAAACATGCCTGGGCTTATTCAGAATAATCATTTTTCGATTGCATACTATTACTTTCACTATATTTTTTATTCTCAAACCGAGTTTATCCAATCAAATTAGAACTTAAATTAAGTATTATTAAAGTATAATCACATTACAACAGTTGAGATCATGAGTCATTTGAAGCTAGACCACCATGGAAAACCTGAAAGCATTGGACGTCCGTTTAATCCTATTGTGGGACTATTCAGCAGTGCGCATCATATTACATTGTTTCATATGAATGAAAGGGAACCTGAGCAAATAAACCAGGACACATTTTACCTGTAATAAATATTGACTTGTAGTTATTTTTTTAACAATTAATCCCTTTGATAAATTTGAATAATCCAATGAGAAGACGAAGGTTATCAAACCTACGGGATCTATTTACGTGATATATATCCGATATATTTTTGGTACAATATAAGATTCTCTGCACAAAGTATTTCAATAAGTTTCCGTTTCTTATTTCTTGATCGATCCTGACGATAACTATTGACTGATCGCCAGTTAGATGTTATCAGGAATCGACATTTGAACAATGTACATTTTTTCGATGCATATTGCCAGCCACCATATTGTCTCTGGTTCTAATTTGTTGTAACTTGTATAGCGAAAAGTCGTAAACATTTCATAAACTCACCTGAATAGATTATGAGGTTGATAGACATAATGATGTGTTAAAACGAACAAAAAACCAGATAACTTGTTGAAATTTCTAGATGGCAAGAACAGGTAGCACAAATACTCAAGCAGGTTGCCAGTATATAACTACTTGCTTACGCCTGTTACTCCCAATGGAGTATAGGACGCCGACCAGCATCCTCCAACCCAATCTATCCTGAACCTTTCTTTCTGGTTCTATCCAATTGTTGTTCATTATTCTGATGTCTATCTCTATTTGTCGGCGTAATGTGTTCTTTGGTCGTCCTCTTTTCCTTTGGCCTTGAGGATAACAAGTGATGGATTGCCTTGTGACGCAATTGGGTGCTTTCCTCAATGTGTTTCCAATCCAATTTCAGTGCTTCTTGATTTCTTCCTCTGTCAATATCTGGTTTGTTCTCTCTCGCAGTAGGTTGTTGCTGAGAGTGTCTGGTCAACGGATCCAAAGTATTTAGCATAGACAGCTGTTAATAAACACTTGTATCTTTTGGATAAAAATAATACATTTCGAATAATTTGATCAGACAGTATACTTATTCACAATCTTAATAAATGAAAAAAATACATGGACAATTCAATAAATTAGAAGGTAAAAAGAAACAAAATTAATAACAAAGTACACAACAACAACATGAAATCATAAATTATCATAGAAATCAGTATCATCAGGATAGTAGGGTAAAGGTAACAACAAATTGTTTTTGAACAAATCAAAGTGATTTCAGTTTTCATATAATCAATGAACACATTTATAGAACACTACAAAAACCTTATTTAATATCAGTCTTATAACCGATCACAATTAAATGTTTCATAACGTAGGAAAATATTTGTCTATCCCAGTAATTTTGTATTGTCACCAATCAATTCAATAGAAAATCAGTATGAATAAGAGGTTATATTTATGTTAGTAGTATGATTGGTAATCTTAGATTTACATATTATATACAAAATTATCAAATTATGATGGAGAAGATTTGTGTAACCATGACAAATTGAAACTTTTATTATCATTATTATTATTACTAAGATTTTACACAGTACTATAAAGAAAGAAGCCCTAAAACTAATGTTACCCATCCAATAAGCGCACACACACAACATTTTAAACGATTGGTTACTTAATATTACAGATAACGAATATTAGGAAAATACAAATGTAGATATTTACACAGAACTACTACTACTATTATTATTATTATTACTAAATGTATAATGTATGTCAATTTGTATAAAACTTAAACTAAATTAATACAAATGATTTATCAGAAGGGGTTTGTGGAGATTTTAGAAAATTTCCCCTTCTGATAATAATCATCTGCTCACTAGTGACTGACTTCAAGATATACTCCTGGAGTTCTAGTGGGAAGCCGTCACCAGTGGAGTACAACCAGGTCTGTTGTGAGATATCAGCTCACTGAAGACAATGGTATATGGTGGCGCAACTTCGTGGATTGGTTGAAGTTAGACATTAACACCGTTGGATGTCGGCTCAGTGGTCTAGTGGTTAAGTGCTCGCGCGCGAAGCCAGTAGGTCCTGGGTTCGAGTCCCGCGTGGTGCGGGATCGTGGATGCGCACTGCTGAGGATACCCGTACTAGGACAAGAGGTTTATTTTATTTATTTGAACACATAAATATCGGTACAAAGAGGCACCGAATACATATGCGTAACACAAGTCACTTGATTTGTGTGTGGGCTGTGATACTTTACTGGTGCCCAAACCGTAGCAGGTCGTTTTCTTGGGGCGCCACTCCTAGAGCCTTCGACTTAAAGATTGATCTACAAGGCAGCGGAGCAACATCAGATGCAGTCCGATGGTAGCCGGTGACCAATAATTGGTTCATAAACCATTTGTTCCTTCAGGAAACTAGGGCCCATGTGCACTATTGGTTTGGAATCAGGGTTTCCCAACTCCCGTAGATGGATCCCCTTTATCCACTAACCTGGTTTAAGAGCCGGACATTCACTTTTCATCCTCTCAATTTCGTAATACAATAGAACCCTATACCAAACGATTGTCATAAAACCAAAGAATAATACAGAATAGAAAACATACAAACATTAAGATGAAATATAATTTTGTACATCTAACATTTAGTTAATTCCTGAAATTTTTGTCATATCATTAACAATATTTACTAACTACATACAATATGGAATACATAGGAATGTAAAACAATTAGTCCTTTTAATGAATTTCGATAGTATAATAAAAAAAAACTAAAATTATCAAAACTATATGATGATATATTAGCGCAATGTATTTCGGACAATCTGATCATATACATATATATATGTGATCAGATTATTCGGAATGTATTGCGCTAATATATCATCACATAGTTTTGATAATCTTCGTCTTCTTCTTACACCATCGAAACATGGTAATGTATTAAGAAAAATTAACATTTTAATTGTTAATAACTCTTTGTTGGAATTAGTTTTAAAAATATTCACTAAAATTACCACCGATATTTTTAAAAACTCTATTTTAATCCACTTCATTTTTAAAGTTATGAAAGTGTTACTAAGGCAAATATTTTTAATATTCATATAATACACAAAAGAAAGTGTTTTTAAGTGTGTGTGTGTGTGTGATTTTACATCTTATCCCGATATATAGATCTATTTCTATGTCGTATAACTGTAGCAACAATAACAACAACAACGACAACAAGATCGTGGATGTACACTGCTGAGGAGTCCCATACTAGGACGAAACGGCCATTCGGTGCTTCCAGGTAATTCATGATAATCCAGCTCCAATTCACTCATGATTTCAACCAGTGAAAAAAGATGATAATAAAACACTTCTAGTAAATTTCTGTACAATCTATTTTATTTCCTTAAATACGATTATGAAATCACTGGAAATATTAATCATAAATTTTTTTATCGATAATACAACATGTAAATTAGAAGTGAGCGGTTTATTTAATAGAAAGAAAAAAATACTACAGATTTAATTGTTCATTACTAATATACATTTGGAAATTTATCTATAATTATTATTGCCTATTATCTTGATTGTACTTCATATAGTTGATATTATACAATTTCTATATATGAACATTATATTATTTATTATGTTTTAGGCGCCAACTGTTTGTGATATAATCGCATTAAATCTTTTAAGATCAAGAGATATTTATCAACGTGCAAAATTTGAAACAATCGCTGAAGAACAAGCTCATTTATCTAGTCGTCGTGCTGATAAAGCACAACGTAAAAAATATGGTTTATCTAAACGGAATACAGATACAGTAAATGAAAATTCAGATGAAAATGGTAAAATTATACAATGGAAAGATGATCAAGAATTTATAGTAAATGATACACAAACTATACATTCATCAACATAATTATTGAATCATTGTAAATTCAAATGGAAACGGTACGTTTTCTTCTTGTTGTTGTTTTTCTCTCTAAAATGGTCTCACTTATCTTACATGAAACTGTTGAAACATTGAAAGACAATGTAATCGAAGCTATGAAGTATATATACATATATATAAGATAGGATCAGTTCCTTCAATCTTCATTCATATTTTCTTTATTATTATTCACTCATACATATTTAACGTTAGTTCAAATTATATCTTAACTTCTTTAACTATTGGTGGTTATGCTTTTGGTTTTTTAAAACTTCCAATGTGACACATGACAATCGTTTACATTTTTAACATCTACATTCATATTTGTTTACAGACTATTACTAACATTCAGTAAAAGTAAATAAGAACTTTCGTCTAAATTTGAACGAATAGTTTCAGTAAAAGGATTAACATACATGAAAAGTTATATCATACTTTTAGATCTGTTGTAAATGTTTACAAATTTTCATTAATTATTGTCATTTGTCTGCTTTGAATGTGTTCCCTTTTGTTTTGTCTTGTTCTCTTATTGTTTTTTCTATTTTGTATTCAACAATTTCTATTCGATTATCTGTTTTTATTTATAATAAATTAATGTAATTCATTCCTGTTATAAATTATTTGTTGAGAATGAACAACAATGCATTTCCCTCAGCAACCACTATCCACCCCCACCCCGTCAAAAAAACACAACGAAAACAAAAATGGATCCATTTCATCGGAATGTGAAAATATATTCAAATATCAATTGGTTACTATTATCTTAGCGCGCGAAAAAAAGGAGTTTGAAAACAACCAGTATTTTAACATTTATATACTTCAATTTAAAGTTAATGAGAAACTTTTTTCTTAAATGATAAACCAACAAATTGGAACTATCCAGTTGAAATTTTTACTATGTTCACTTTGATGTAACTTTATTCTGTTTGTTTGGTGGAAGAATATAATTTGCGATGTTTGTTTTCCTCTCTCTCTCTCTCTCTTAATTCCTTAGTCTTTTTTTATTATAAAATTATTTTACAAACATTATCTATGATAATCTTAATGTATTATGCATTTGTCAAAAGTACACATCTGTGAATTATTTTAAGTATATATACATAGTCTAAATCATGAAATAATCTTAGCTAGAACACTACTGAAAACCTGAAAACTTTGGACGGACGTTTCATCTTCGTATGAGACTCCTAAAAAGTGAATATCCAGGAATCTACCACGGGGAATCGAACCTAGAACTTTCGGTCTGTCATGCAAATGTTTGACCTTTGGACCACTAATCTGATATCTGGTGGTGTGAGTGTTCGGCTTAAATCAACTCATGATATTGCACAACCTTCATCTATCGTCTACAATAGATAACATTATCACATCGGACATGGTTGAACTCTATTGGTCACAGCTTCGTACTAGATTTCCTGGAGTTACATCTTGAAGCTAGTGAGCACATGATTATTTTTAGTATTTATGTATATGTTACGTGTTTTCTATACATAATTCTTATTCGAAAAAGAAATATTTTTGATTTATGTTAATCAATAGCTGGGGCATATTTGCATATCCCACTCCAAACTGATAGGTTCTCTGGATGGAACAGTATGTAATATCACTATGAATCCAGCGGAATTATCGGCTGTAACATAAACGTACGTATACCTTGTTAAAGAGTACCAGATAGCACGTATTTAACTTTACGATTTTTTATCGACTGATATCAACCGTTTAACATGGATTTCTTTTCGTGAAACATTTGCTTGATTAAAAAAGCGCTATTTTTAGAATTTAATGAACGTCATACGTTGAAGAAAAAGAGGAAAATTCCGTAAATCTTTAATAAACAATTTTATCCACACTGAATACAATTATTTAAAGTCGTATGCAGGTAACTTCTGCAGAAAAATGATTACATAACACTTTCAATAAAAAATTTACAGTAAATATCATTAGACAATGTAACACACAAATGAACTGAAAACAAACAGTGAATATGACTGAACTACCTAACATACAACGTATCAGTGATTATTATCAGAAAGAAGTTTTTGTGGATATTATAGTAATTTTAATAGTTGAGTTCATGAGTCAATTGAAGCTAGGCCGCCATGGAAAATCATGTAATCGCTGGATGGCCGTTTCGTGGGACTCCTCAGCAATGCGCATTCACGATCCCACCTAATGAGATTCGAACACAGGACCTATCGATCTCACGCGTGGACGCTTAACCTCCACACCACTGAGACGGTCGGCATCCAATGGTGTTAATGTCTGATTTCAACCAAAAATTATCAATGGTTGATACAATTGGGATTTATTAATTTGTAATCTTTATCTATGTATTGATTCACTTCTAATAAATTAGGCTTAGTAAATGCATAGAAAAGATACGAGAGATTCTTCACTAGTTGAGGAATGTTTTTACAGTTTTCTTAAATTTTGTATATTAACGCCCGTGAGGACCATTATTTCAATAGTGTGCAACTTTTAGAGAGTAATACGAAGTCACTGCAACAATTCTTTTCACCATAACACAAATTAAACGATCTGCATGCACGCGATGTGAGAGATGAATTGGATTAATTAATTGACTAGTATAAATTAATGAAATTTATTAAGCACGTACAGGATGCGAGTGAGTCATCAAACACGTTGAGAGTGAAAAAAGTATATGCGTGGGCTGTAACAAATGACCAATCACATCTATTTATGTACGCGTGCGAACATATTATGTAGACAAATATCTCTAAAACATCTGTGGCTTAAATTTATTATTCATATACGCCCCCGCGACGATAAAAAGTTTTTCACCCCTTTCCCCTTTTGCACTCCTCGAACTTGTTGTTCAATAAAGAGGAAGAATGTATTTGTAAAATCTCAGCGAAATCAAACGTTTCGCCTGGCAATCTGGCCCAAGCTTTTCCAAAGAAAATATGATATAATTGGTTGGCTTACATTGAACTGACTGTGGATTTTTTTTGTACTTCTATTGATAAATGAGGGTATGACCATAAATAAATAGGCTTAGACTACAATTTATGAACGAACCAATGAAATCAAGGATAACAAGTCATGAATTTTGGTACAAAACCCATTCATCCATATGGTTAAATAGCGTTTTAGTATTTTAGCTGATGTCAGTTCGTGATGGGAACCGTAAATGTAATTCTTAATCCTAACTTTCAACTCCAAATCACAAACTTAATTCTCCATACGAAATCTAACCCTATTATGACCATAGGAAGTTGACATATTTTCTCACGGTCACTTTAGCGTCGCTCAAAAGTCGTCCATATATTATAGTCCCCCCATACTTTGTGATCGGTTTTAGTGTTATCGAAATACGTTTTCACTTTGTCCAGGTGAACATTATTTTTCGCTAAAATGATCATTTAATTAATTATAAATCATTACACAGATTGAAATCATAATTCAATTGAAGCTAGACCACTATGGAAAACCTGGGAGCACTGGACGGCCGTTTCGTCCTAGTATGGGACTCCTCAGCAGTGCGCACACACGATCCCACACCCCGCGAGATTCAAACCCAGGGCCTATCAGTCCCGCACCAGGCGCTTAACCAACTAAACCACTGAGCCGGCATCCAATGGTGTTAATGTCTAACTTCAACCAATCCACGAAGTTGCGCCACCGTATACCATTGTCTTGGCTCAGTGGTCTAGTTGGTTAAGCGCCTGGCGCGGGACTGATAGGTTTTGGGTTCGAATCCCGCGGGGTGTCGAATCGTGGATGCCCACTGCTGAGGAGTCCCATACTAATTGTACTAAACAATATGTAAAACATGTAGTAAAAAAATAAATACTAACGGGATGGCCATTTTAACCTAGTATGATACTTGTCAGCAGTGCTCGAATCGATTTCGCGCGCTAACGCTTAACCTTGGGTCGGTATCCAAGGCTGTTAATGTGTTATGAGGAAACTCATACTAGGAAGAAACTGTCATCCAATGTTTTTAGATTTACAGTGATGGTCTAACTTACATGGACCCATGAATTCAGTTATTAAAATCACCACAATCTCCACAAACCCCCATTCTAATAATAATGTAAAAGTAAATCACTAATAATAATTATTGTCATTAGTTAAAATAATGTCTTAAGCTGTATACAATCAGTAATGATCTCAATGAGACGATATTCAAGTAACTGACTTATGATTTTGGCAATTTAACATGTTATGCAATGAAATAAGATGAAATGAAGGTATTCGTTATCCACTAGTTTTTATTCAATGAACGTTGTATGTTATCTATGGATAGTATATGGATTAATAGATGTTTATTTTAATCATAACAAAACCACAGTGTTTAAACAAACATGTTCATACAAAAAAGGTCGTGATGTTAGGTTTTTTTTTGGAAATGGAGTGAATGATGTAATAGTTATCATTTATTTAACTGAATTAAAGATAACTGGAAAGAATGTAAAAGTGTAAGTAAACTTTACGTTGACAAATTATCCTTAATATCTGGATATTGTGAAGTAATAATTAACAAATAATAATAAGGGATTTGAAGGTTTAATGTATGTGGTGAACCTAATTAGTTTACAGAAATATCTAAGTAGAATTGTAAAGTTAGTTGAACTGTATTTATAAACGATTATTCTCCTTCCTGTTATGAATGTACCTAGTTAGTTCACTGAAAACTTTGTTTACCGTAAAGTTGACCAAACTATGAATGGTAACCCCAAAAACACTGAACAAAATTATGTGGCTTATTAGAAGAATATTTATGGGCAGTTTGATAGTTATTGTAATAAGTCTGCAAGTGAATAAGAAGTTTGATGTATATATTTTCCGACTATAATAATTAAGTTTATTTTTATAATTAATCTAGCAACAGAACTCTTAGCCTAAATATTTTAATGTAGTAAGTCGTTGAAATATTTTTAACGAAATCAGTGTTAAACTTCTAGGAATCTCACTGGAAATGATGATAACTTTAAAGCTTTGTATGTTCAAGGGTGTTTTGTCACGATATATACTCTTTATTAACAGCAAATGTAATTTGTACATAGGTGAAACGACGTTTAAAAAACCCATCCATTAACTTCCAGATTTTAAGGTTAAGTGTAATATGAAAAAAAATTATATTATGGTAACGAATTTCTAAATCAATGTAACATAATATTGTTTCGATGGCAGTAACAATACTAACCATAAAACTGGTAGTATGTAAATATAATGTATAGTCAAATCATAATCCAATGGGTATTGAGTTAAGTAAACAAACTTGATATATATACAAGTAGAGATCTTGGATATTCTATTCTGTCGTACCATATATTTAATAACCAACTTTATAAAGTAGGAACAAAAATCAAACCAATGGGAGATACAACTAAAACAAGGGAGTAAACAATGACAAATTTAAGGTCAATAAGAACCAATCAATGTCGAGGTGTGCAGAACAAGCGGTGAAACGCATATGGAGAAATTCGAACACTTCACTTCTATATGAAGTTTGTGCTAATGGTGTCGTTCAGAAGAACGATGGAAGCTCCACGACCAAACCATCCAGCTCAGAGAACAAAACTCCATCAAAATCATCCACCTGAGCTACAAATCTTCTCCACCATCTCAGTAGTTTAACTTAATTCACTTTTTTTTTTAATTTAAAGGAACTATGAACGGACAATATTTGGTTTCCATTTAGTATCAAGAATAATACTAGATAATAACAAACCATTAATGGAAAGTAAAGATAATTTGTTTTAAAGTATTTTCGTCTAATAATAACATGTAATATAGACATTAATCAAACGTGATATAAATGACAGGTTTGTTTGCATTTACGAAAAGTAATGTTTCATTGACTTTATTTGAAGTGAGTGTGATTTACCAAACGAAATCAATATTCTACATTAAAAACAACAACATATTTTCGCACGATTCTGTAAAGATACAATTGTGTTGAGCCATAATCTTAATAATATGGATGTTGCTTACTTTTTATCAAGTAAATGTTATTCACTGAGCCGGTGTCTAGAAGTGTTAATTTCTAACTTCAATCGATTCACAGTATTGGGCGATTATTTTTCATTGTCTTTACGCTTGACATAGTTGAACGCCATTCATCAGGGCTACTCACTAGGAATCCAGGAATTAATGCTCGAAGCTAGTTACAAGTGATCACATGATAATTGTCAATATAGGGCTATGGAGATTGTTAAGCTTCATTGAAATCATGAAATGATCAATTTTAAACGACCATTGAAAACCTGGGAACACTAGATGTAAGCTCAGTGGTTTAAAGGTTAGCCATTCTCACGCGAGATCATAGGTGCTGGGTTCGATTCACGAGTGCGGTGTCTAATTGATGGCCGTATCACGTGATATAATTAATCGGGTATGAAGACATAACAAATTCAATACTTCATTTAATAAAAAAACTAGTAGGTCAACTAGAACTATTTAATAATAATACAATATATTCTGAAGATAATAATTACAGAATTCATGCCAGTTTACAGTCATGATCAACTTGATATGGAT